TCAGGTGACTCCTTGGCTGGTCAGTGCATCACTCCGCTCTCTGTCCCCATCGTCACACAGCCTCTTCCTGTCCTCTCATGAGGACCCCAGTCCTTGGGTGAGAGTCCTTAGCGCTAACGACCTCAGCCTAACTTGATGACATCTGCGAAGACCCTTTTTCCAAAGAAGTTCGCACTCACAGGAATGGGGTTAGGACTCGAACATCCTTTTGGGGAGGGACACAGGTCAACCCAGAGCAGCAGGGATTGCTAATTCAGGCTGGGTGGTCCCTTGCTTCCTAAAGGGAGGTCTTTTTCATTGACCTCTGGATGGCGAGGGAGCTGCCTGTAAAATGTCTGGGGGACGAGCGTCCACGGCAGGAGAAGTAGCATGTGCAGAGGCCCTGAGCAGAGAGGTGTGCTTCGGATAGTCAGCGACCAGCAAGGAGACGCGTGGCTGGAACAGAAAAGGCAGGGGTAGCGGGTGGGGATTGTGACGGGGGATGAGATCATGGACACAGGCCAGGGCAGGACCGTGCAGGGTCTTGTGAGCAGTTGGCAGTCCATTCTCAGGGCAATGGGGGGGTGGGGTGGGCACTGGGGGATTCTAAGCAGCAAGGGTGGGAGCCTGTGGGTTGTACTGACCACTGATGCAGAGCAGCCTGGAGGCAGGTGAGAGTGAGCGCTGGTGGGAGGCTGCTGCCGTGGCCCAGGCAGGAAATGACGGTGGCTGGGGCCAGGGTGGGGAGGAGGCGGCAAGTGGTACTTTCTAGCCCATAGTGCATTCTCCTTGCAGTTCTCAAGCGGCGCTCCGTGAGCCCTGGGGTTCCGCAGGGATGTTCCCTGTCTTTGACACCCGAGGGTACATGCCACTGATTTTGTGAATCATATGAGCCACACCAGACGTGCCTTCCTCTCGGCCCGGCCCAGACTCCCCGTGCCAGCTCTCCTCACCCTCTGCTATCACTGGGAGTCATAAGACTTCTTTTGAGTGTTTCATCTTGGTCCAAACATGTCCCTTAGCAAATCCACCCTCAGCTAATAGCCCAGGAAAAATGTGACTCGGTAATGAGTCTCAGATTCGCATGGCACAGAACCATGTCTGTGGTGGCACGTGTGACCGACAGAAGTCACACAGCCTCCTCCGTGCCTCCGTGGGGGCGACAGGGATCCTTACACCTGGGGGCACACAGCCTGTCTGCGGCCTTCTCAGCGGTCTGTTCATCGTGGCTGCCATTTTCACTGTTACTTCCCTGTCCTCACAACTCGTCAGCTCCAGGCAGCTCCACCTTCACAGTGGAGCCCAAACCCCACCATTTACCACCAACTTCACCACCCTCCCTCCCGCCCCAGTCATCCCAGTCCCATCATTGACTGAAACCACTCCCTGATTTCAAAGACTGTGAAACTGACACAGATGTCAGCGTCTGCAAAGACCCCGGCAAGAGAGAGAACGCAGATGGGGCAGACACGTGGCACTGGGGGGTGCGGGCATTTAGGAAGCCAGCCAGCGGGGTGACAGAGGGTGACAGTGGGGACAGCATGAAGGCGGGGGTTTGAGAGAGAGTTGTGGGGTGGACAAGACTCGCCAATGCGCCGGGCCCTAACGGACCAGCCTCCGCGCCTGCCCTTGGGGCTTTGGCTCAGCATTTCCTGTCTCGGTCCCTGCAACAGGGAGGAGGCCCCCGCCCCTGCTGGGCGGGTGTTGGCACCTCCTGTTTAATGACAGGCAAGGACAGCAGTGTCAGGGAGAGGGGGGTTTGCTGACCATGCCCCCTTATTAAATATCAGTTCCACAAGGGCGAAAAGGAGAAACAAAACCCGTAAAAGGAGTCAAGAACCTGGGGATAAGGGTCTGAAGCTCGCAGGCTCATGGGGGGCAGCGGGTCGGGGTGTGTGGGGCCCTGAGAGCCACGGACTCATCTGAAGGGGCGGCCTCTACTCAACTCCAGGTGACGCGGGCCTGCTGCCGTGGCCAGATCTTCCCACTTATTACGAGACATTGCAAATGTTAATTTTTATATGAAATCTAATTAAACAATGTTCGTTCAGATTAAAAAAATTACAGGGCAGATCAAACATAATACAGTGGGGGGGCAAAAGTATGCTTACAGTTGTGAGTACAGGAAACAGAGTTTATTTGGTATTATTATTATTTATTAAGTGTTGTGTTATTTTCCATACAAACAACTGTACACCTACTTTTGCCCACCCTCTATGCCTGCAGGGTGGGTTTGGCCGAGCTACTGCAGACCTGTGACGTGTGTTGCTGTCACATGGCGCATCTTCCTGCATCCCACACCTTGATTTGGGTTCTGACTTTTAGTAGAACGCAGCTCGACGACCCAGGTGGCAGAGGCAGTAAGAGAAGGGGACAGCGACAGGATACCTAGGAGAGCTGGGGGGCGAGGGGGGAGGCAGCTTCCCAGAGCCGGCCGGCCAGGTGTTTGTATTTAACTCTAAACTAGATGGGAAGCCACGGGCGGGCTTACGGGATGTCTGTTTGAAAGCATCCCAAGGGCAGACTCGGTAGTGAGCCCAGGCCGGAGGCTCCTGCAGTGGCCAGGTGAGAGATGATGGGACTGGGGTTGACTGGGGCGGGAAGGCAGGCGGTGAAGTTGGCGATAAAGGGTTGGGTTTGGGTTCCACTGTGAAGGTGGGGCTGCCTGAAATTGCTGAGGGTTTGCACGTGGGTGAAAAGAGAAGAGGAAGCCAGGGTTACTCCTTGGTGTTTGGTCGAAGAACTGGCTGAACTCTCGGGCGATATCTGAGCTGGGGACATGGGAGAAGTTTCAGAAGATAATTGTGTTTGGTGGGACACATCCACTTTGAGGTACCTGTTGGATATCCAAATGGAGATGTTGGGTGGACAGTGTAGTGTCTGAGCCCAAATTTCAGGGGCGAAGTTCAGGCTGTATATAAAATGAGCTTTATACCAGTAGGGGGAAGGGACTGACTTGAAGGGGTCTCAGGACTCAGGGCCACCTGCATTGGGACTGGGGGGCGGGGGCGGTACTCCTCAGGTATTTGTATTTAGGTAGAACCAAGCAGCTTCCCAAAGGAACACCCTGGAGTGCTGTTATCAGGAGAAGGGGGAATGGGCTTCTGGGTAGGCAGATTCCCCCGGGGCCAGGAGAGTGGAGGCATTTACCTGTTAGGGGTGGTGAGATGAGAAGGGACACGTGAGGGCGACACCAGGCTTCCTCCTGGCCTACAGCACAAGGCAGACTTGTTCCTGGTTTATCTCTGACCAAATTTCGGGATCCGGACTTCGGGTGTTGCCATTAGGACCGAGAGGATCCACCTTCTTCTATACCAGCGGTTCTCAACCTGTGGGTCGTGACCCCTTTGGGGGTCGAACGACCCTTTCACAGGGGTCGCCTAAGACCATCGGAAAACACATATATAATTACATATTGTTTTTGTGATTAATCACTATGCTTTAATTATGTTCAATTTGTAACAATGAAAATACATCCTGCGTATCAGATATTTACATTACGATTCATAACAGTAGCATACTTCTATCAGTGTCCTGGCTTGCGTCATCTCCCCTCCCCCACCTACATTTCTCAGCCCCTCCTAGATGCTTGTTGGGTACTCCCAGGAGAGCTGTGCTTGTGGATAGGAAACAAATCAGGGATTTCTTTATATTCTGAGTCCAAAAGCACTTCCCAAGACTCCGAAAATTGGTGAGTCCTGAGCCAGGCCCAGGCCCCTGGAATGGAGTTTGAGTTTAAACCCGGGGTTCTCACCCCTGGCCACACATTGGAAGGCTCTGGGGAGCTTTTACCAAACCCGGAGGCCCAGGCCCCACCCTCAAACATTCTGACCATAACTGGTCTCTGGTGTGAACAGCGCTCCAGGTGAGTCTAATGTGGAGCCTGGGTTAAGAGCCCCTGGGGGCTGGGGCTGGGCTTTGAGCTCGTGCTCCCCCTATGTCCCCGTCCCTAACGTTCACCTGGGATGCTTGCTCACAAACACACACCCCTGAGCCTCCTCTCAAGACTCCTGGAGTCAGGAGCTCCAGTGAGGAGCCTGCCCATCTATCTGTTCTGAACAAGCACTCAGGTGTATTGCTACCCTCCCCCCCGAACCCCCAGCTGCCCTGCCCTCCGTGCTCGGCCTGCAACATGCCCAGCTCCTTTGGCTGTTGCTTTTTGGGGGGTTTCCACCTCTGAACACTCTTCCCCCAGCTCCACCCATCAACCAGGTTCGCCCCAGTGTCACCTTCCCAGAGAGGCCCTCCGTGACCACAGAAATGACTGATCCTCCCAGCCCCAGTCATTACCCCACAGCCCTGGTGAGGTCTCTCCTGGCGCCTCACAGGGGACCATCTTTGTTCCCTGTTTATCTCCTTCGTGGCTCTCCCCCCACCAGGACCAGAGCTTCTCCAGGGCTGGGTCCCCTTCATGCTGGGTGCCCAGCACCTGGGGCGATAGGTGGCCAGGAGGTCTAGGTGGGGCTTGTGCTGGGAGTATGATTCTTTCCCCGCCCAGGAATACGGAGCTAGGGGCATGCAGGTGACAACGCTGGGTGGACAGCACTCCACGCTGTGGGCACACAGAGGCACAAGGAGGCACAGATCTGCCCCCCCCCTACCCCCCAAGAAAAGCAGGAAAGCCCGGGATCCGCTGGTCACATGGGGCAAAACTTAGTGGCAGCAGCTTTCTGCCCGGGCTCCTGGGTCGCACAGGGCCAGCCGCGCTCACCCGCCGGG